CTAATTGTTGTTCCACAGTTGTCTTTGGCCAGAAGATCAAACACGTCATTATTATACACTTCTACAACAGAAACCTCAATCCAATGACTTCCCGGTGGCTTCTCTGAAATAAGCCTGCGGGGGGAAAGAACAAAAAACAGCTTAAGAGGCTGAAACAAAATCCAAAGTAAACTATGCATATGATCCAGGAGTCTATTACTCGCTGATTGAAGTGCTTATCAAAATTCTAAAAATCCATAATCCAGAGCATACACCATTTCTTTGAGTAACTCAGACTCCTTAAAATCAGACCCTGCCCCATCTGCTGTGGTTTTCATACACTGGCACAGTTCTGTTGACTGTATATTTTAGCCTCACGGGCCTCTGGAAGAAGCCAGGAATACATTCTTTGTTCCCAAGCAAATATCTGTGTGCAAAACATAACTTGAAAAGAAAACACACCTGTTTACAAAGGCAACAAGGAGGGATACAAGATACTTCATTCTTATGCAGTATTTTCTATTTATAGACAGTGGTCCACCAGCAAGCTGCTGATGGGTCAACACAATACTAAAAGCACTGAGACAAAAGACAGCACGCAAAGCTCCCTTTACATTGGTACACCGTATCATACATAGGAGAGCCATTCTTGTTCTGAGTAATGGGTGCATCCCATACCGTAGCAGCTGACAGGGAATTAATAATGCAGAAGACCATGCTAGCAGTTACGTTTGGTGAACAGCAGAGCCAGTTTGGTTAAGAGCGTGGATCTGGGAGAACCGGGTTTGATTCCCCACTCCTCCACATGCAGCTGCTGGTGTGACCTTGGGTCAGTCATAAGTTCTTTCAGAACTGTTCTCTCAGGGGCAGCTCTGGAGAAAGCTCTCACAGCCCCCACCTACCTCACAGGGTGTCTGCTGTGGGGAGGGGAAGGGATTGTAAACTGCTTTGAGACTCCTTTGGGTAGTGAAGGGTGGGGTATAAATCCAATCTCTTCTCTTCTTCTTCATGTGGCTTTTAACTGGCACATGGGGTGTGTGTGTGTGTGTCACTGTGGTTTATACCGATGCTCTCCCCCTAGAATGTTGCCCCATCCAGGACATTTCTAGTTTCTGTTGGGACTGAGAGACAGGATTGGGATTCTGTTGGTGTACTGCCCACCCCACTGCCTAACAGTGTTCCTGCCTAAACTGACAGAGGTTGTCTTGGGGGTGGTATTGAGGACCCCTAGGCTGGTTGCCTTGGGGGGCTTCATTAATGCTGAGGCTGTCTTTTCAGGAGCAGCTCAGGATTATGTCTGCACAGTGTAGACCAGCAGATCCATGCCAGGTGGTCTGAGGTCTGTTGGGATCTGGCCTGCAGAAAGAGGTAGACTGCTGGGTGGCCTACTGTGACTGTCTCGTTCAGCACTTCTCAGATAAAATATCCTACATAAATTCCAATTTGTATTCTGAGCCCTGAGAACGCCCTGAGCCCGTTTGCGGGGAGGGCGGGGTAAAAATGCAACAAACAAATAAATAAATAAATAATTCTACATTAGCAGTGACAGGGTCAGACGGTGCCAAGGTTCTGCCTTGTCCAATTGTTTGGGATAGTTTTCAGTTTATTCAGTTCGAATATCAGGATCCTTGGAAGTTTAAGGCCTAACAGCTGCTTTTATGACCATTGCCCAAACTGGCCACTTAAAGTTGCCAGGGGAGGGAACTGGCTGACTGGATCCGAGAGACAGTTAATGCCTGCTTGAGAGAATGGGAGTTCACTCCGGCCTTGAAACGTCTAAAGAAGCCTACCCTAGATCTGGGAGATCTCAATAACTATCAACCAATCTCAAGTGTTCCATTAACAGGTGGTGGCTGGACAATATCAAGCTTTCCTGGAGGAGGTGAATTGTTTAGATCCTTCCCAATCTAGTTTTAGGTCTGGTTATGGAACTGAAGGAGCCTTGGTCACCCTGGTGGATTATCTACACCAGGAGATGGCAGTGCAACACTGTTGGGTCTCCTGGACTTCTCAGTGGCTGCCAAGGCCATTATTTATGGTATCCTTCTGGAATGTTTTTCCAAGATGAGATTGGGAGGCACTGTTTTGTAGTGATTCCAGACCTACCTGAAGAGTAGTTTTTAAAAGGTGATACTGGGGGACTGCTGCTCTGCCCCTGGCCTTTGGGGTCTTGTAGGCTTCCATCTTGTCCACAATGCTCTTCAACATCTACATAAGACCAATGGTTGAGGTCATCCTGAGATTTGGGCTGATGACAGTCAGTTCTATCTTGCAGTCACGACTGATCCCAGGGAGGCTAGTGCCTGGAGGTAGTTTTGGAGCAGATATGGACTAATAAACTCAAGCTTCCTCCCAGTAAAGCAGACGTGTTACTGGTGAATGGAAGCTTTGACCTGGGATTTAAGGTGTCACCTGTTTTTGATAGGGCAGCACTTTCCTTGAAGGAACATCAATAGTTTTGGGGTGCTCTTGAACAGGCCTGCTGCTGGATAAGCAGATGGCAGCTGTGGCTAGGAGTGCTTTTTCGAGCTTCGACTGGTTAACCAACTGTGGCTTTTCCTGGGCAGAAATGATCTGGCCACTATGGTGGATGCCCTGGTTACATCTAGATTAGATTACTGCAGTATGCTTTACATGAGGCTGCCTTTGAGAAGTTTCATAAACTTCAGTTGGTACAGAATGCTGCAGCCAGGATGTTGAGTGGGTTGTAGGGACCATATCACTCAAGCCTTGGTCCTTCTACACTGGCTACCAATCTGTTTCCGGGTACAATTCAAGATCCCAGTGCTGACCTTTAAAGCCCTATACCATCTGGGATCAAGATTCTGAAAAGACCACCTCCTCCCTTATGAACCAACCAATTATCATGGTCATCTTTGGAGGGGCCCACCTTCTCAGATTAGGCAGGCAGCGACCCAAGAGAGGGCATTCTCAGTCATGGCACCAAAACTCTGGAACTCTCTATACAGGTAGACTTATCTTTGCTGCTATCTTCTGCCAGCAGATGAAGGCTTTTTTGTTTCATTCAGTATTTCCTCAGTGATCCCGACTTCCTTCCTAATATGTTAATAGTTTTTATGTTTTTTAAATGTATTTTAGTTCTGGTTTTATTTGTTTTAATGATGCACTTCCATTAGTTTTAATGGTTTTTAAGTTGTGATTTTATGTTTTAATTTGTTAGCTTCCTTGGTGGCCCTTAAGGGGGCAGAAAGGCAGGATACAAATTTAGTTAAATAAAATAAAGTAGATGCCATTCTGTACTGCATGGTTTATTCAATTTCCTCCTACAAATTCCTCCCATGGTGGCTTAGAGTTCATTTGCAAGCCCTCCTCCTCTCCTGGGCACTGTACTGGACAATCAATAACAAATATTTATGATTTAGTTATTAACAAGGACTGCCTTTTAGAATAGCAAAATAAGTAATTGTGGCATAGTGCATAGAACATTGTGTTCAAATCCAAACTCAAATCTTGCTGTACTACAAAGCTCACTAAATGGCTTTGGAAGTTACTCTCTCATAGAGAGCTTTCTGAGCCTCAAGTTTCTTAGGAAGATAAATAGGCTTATGTCTGTATCAGCTAATTTTTGTAAACTCAAATATGTCTTAGGCTTATGTCAGCTAATTTTTGTAAACTCAAATATGTATTGCTAGAGCCTCAGGCACACTGCATCTAAAGACTATATTCTATTCTTTAAGTCTGATATTTAATACCCAGGTTATTATTTCAACAGAGAGAGAACAGCTGACACCTTTATTTGAACATCACTTATAAAACCTGTGTTTCAACTGATTAATATGCATATTTACTTTGTCACTATTTTTTTTTACAACCGTAACCTAATTTCTATCTTTACTTCTACCAGTCTTGCATAGTTCTAATTATTTTGCCATCTCACAGTATCTGAAGGGGCACAAAACCATCTGGCATCTTTTTTTTAAAGCCTGTCTCTAAAATTCAAATAGTTTCATAATTGTAAGAAGAACATATGTACAGTAAGTGTACAAAGCATTGTTTGAGAACTACAAAGAACAATGAGGGAGGGATCAAAATGTCAAAAATGGCAACAGAGAAGGGCTTGTGCAAAATTACTATGAAGGGAGAATTGCAAATAATACTATAGACCGAGAATAAAACATCAGCTAACAGCAAATTGTTATTTATGCATGTTGATCACTAGATTAAGGCTGAAATCCTAAAAACACTTTTCTGAGAGCAAGTCCATTGAATAGAATGGGACTTACTTCTGAACAGATCAGTTTAGGATTGCACCCCAAATGTCTACTTGAGCACTTTATGAATGGAATTACAAGGTTATTCATAACGAAACCCCCCAGAAAAGGCTGATGTTCCACCCATTTCATTATTTGTTCTGAATTTTGCCTAATCCACATCATAAACGCTTTCAGAAGAGAAGCTGCAGCTGAAAAGAAAATCCTAAACAAAGTCATAATGGTGAATGGAGGAACCTCAAGAAAGCAAATGCCAGGCATTTCCATTCTCCCCTCCCCACCATATTCAGGTTTTATACGAACAGCAACAGTTTCAGTACAAGGATTTAGAAGGGCATGAGCAATCGAAAATTAATTCTTTCTGTGCTGGAGGAAATATATTGTCAACTATAAAGTCATCAATACCTGAACACTTCTTCAGCAGCTCTAGGAATAATTCCTAATTCTGGTTCATCTTCCAGGGAAAAAGCAAAAGTATCTTCAGGTTGTGGTCCTAACATTGTGTATGTTTTTCCACTCCCAGTCCGTCCATAAGCCATAATGCACACATTGTACCTAGAAATCAAAACACATGTTGATTCTTAATTCCAACAGATACTACTGATCAAAGACAGAAGATTTTGGGAAGAAAAGTCCCTGTTTCTAATTTTCCAACAGCTCCACAGAATGTGGAGAACACAACAGATGTTCCTTATTCCAAATTACCACAACTCCCTAACAGCCTTAACCTCTCCCATTTCCCCCCGACAGTATTAATAGGAATTGAAGCAGTCCAGAGTTAATCACAGCCTGTCATTGGCATGTGGATGGGCAAAATCCCTTTGCCTGTTCTGTTCTCTGTAATAAAGAAGGAAGTGCCATCAAAGCTCAGCCTACTTATGGTGATCCCATCAGACTTTGAAGGCAAGAGATGTCCAGAGGTGGTTTGCCATTGCCTTGTCTCTGTGTAATGACCTTGGACTTCCTCAGTGGTCTCCCATTCAAGTACTAACTAGGGCTGACCCTGCTTAACTTCTGAGATCTGACAAAATCCGCTTAGCCTGGGCCATCCAGGTTGGGGCAATAAAGGGGACCAAATACTATTTTAAAAAACAAGTAGGAATGCCTAGTAAGTTTTGATCATCTTGTAAATCGTGGTTTGCCATCTCTGGATCCAACATTATTTTAAGTAGAGAGACACGCTATACCTCATTCCATCATACATCAGATATGTAACCTGTAGGTGGCTGTTTGATATGTGAACAAATAAGGCTTCAATCACACTTCTTTTGGTGGAATTTTAAGTACACATTCAGCATTTTTGTGGTATGATATCAATACAGATTTGTCAGGGCTAACAATACAGAAAGCGATCATTTTTTTTTGCAATTTTTTTAATTTCCCCAAACTACAATAAAATAAGGAAAGGTTAACTATAAACTACAGGAGAAAGTAAAGATAAACCACTAAAAACCCAAGAGGTTGTGGTCATATAATGATTACAATAAAATAGCTTTAAGTAAAAATAAAAAGTGATTTGTTACATTGAAGGTGATCGTTAGTCGCTTAAATAATTCAAGTCCAGGTATTCTGACTTAGTAAAGAGCAAACGGTTAAATATTAAAAAGCAAAACCACACTTCAGAGAAGATTAGCATCTCATTTGCCTCTTCTTTCCCTCAATTGATACCCTTGCTTGGGGGCAGCTGCCCCACGTTCCGAATCTGAGTCTTCTCCAGTAAATGCTTCATCATCACTCCTCTTGTTGCTCTTCTCATCCTCTTCCCCTGTTGGCTCCCGTTGTTGCTGCAAAAACTCACGTGCTTTCGTAACAGAGTCAATTTCCCGCCTCTTATCTTTAAATTTGAAGAGTATACCTTCAGGTACAATCCATTTGTAGGAGATGTTATTCTTTTGTAGAAACAGAGCCAAGTCTCTGTATTTCTTCCTTTCCCCCCTTATTTCAAAGGGAATGTCTTTCAAAACTCTTATCTCCTTGCCATCAATTTTAAGGGTAGTTGCATTTGTTGCTTTTAATATCTGATCCCTCACATATCTTCTGGAGAATCTAACCACCACCTCACCAGGCAGATTATTTTTCTTTATGTATTCTGAATATGACCTATAGATCACATCCATCTCACCTTGAAGAAAATCCGCTTTTAAATCTGCAACTGGTTCCAGGACATCACTCATAATCTGTTTAAGATTCTCCTCTTTAGTCTCAGGAACTCCCTGAAATCTCAGTGTAAAGCTTGCCTTTTCCATTTGAAGCTGTAAAAGCTGGACTTCATCAGATTTTCTTTTCTTTTCCATCTCCTGCATTTGCTTTTTGAGCTTTTGGGTGTTGGCATCCACTTCTTTCTCAGCTGTTTGCTCTGTGTTTGTTTTTAGTCTCGTCTAATTGCTGTTGCTGTGCAGCGAAGTTCTGATTGAGTGTTGTCAGTTGCTCCAGCAGGGGTTGCAACGCTTCTGTTAGCAATTTAGAGAAGTCTATGGCTACATCCAGTCGCGTGATTGCACTTGCTGGGCTAGCACTTCCTGAAGGAGGCTTAGGTTTCGTTTGCTTATCTTTCGCCGTCTTCTTCAGCGACATCTTTGAAGTTGTTTACATTTAAGCAAGTTTGCCAAAAGTCTCTAAAATCTGCAAGTCACCTGTAATTCTCTTGTAAGTTCCTTACTATAGTCCCATTTTGCTTTCAGTTCTGCCCCCCTTTAAAAGGCATGCTTTGAGTCCATTTTTATTTCTGTGGGGGGGTCCCAGTCCCACCCCCCTCGCTTACTTTAGGGGAGACTTTCAGTCACTTCTCTGGTACTCGTTTCAACCAAACTCACTCTCAATGTAGATCAAGTAGATCTCGCCATCAAACGTGCAAAGCACTCAACCTCCACTCGCTTGTCCCGGTGTGCGTCTCTGAGTCCAATACTGGAACACAGCAGAGAGACTGTCGAGGCATTGGAATGCCTTAATCTACCAGCACCGTGCTGGGAGAGAGGTGATCCTCGGCGCCCCATGGCTCCAGGGGATGGCGCGTACAGTCACACCCCCTCTCCATCCGCTGGCTCACGGATCGTGTCCTCGGGAGCTCCCGAGAGACGCATCCGCCATTAGACTGCCAAAACTGGAAGTCCAGAAAGAGGTCTTGATTTCCCAGAGTTTTCTCACTGCCACTGCAGCTGCAGATTAAGCACTGCAGCAGTGTGGTTTCCCCATGGAATGGTTCCCTGCCCTAGTCCTCCATAGCAGCCATTCCCCCTCCATCACATGGGCAGGGGGGGGGGAGGCTTTTGTTTTTCCTTTTAAATTGGCAGTTGCTAGATCACTATATCATTACAATGATCTATCTGCTATGTCCTCTGAATTTATAGCTTTTATTTTTTAAACATAAGCCTCCACCTCCGTTTCCCTTATATCTCTGCAATGAATGGTTAAAGACTGACTTTTAGAAATTGAAAAATTCAGGAGAACTAGTAGATAGACTGTTATAATGTTATAAAAACAAAAAGGAAAAGCCCCCTCCTCAATCCCAGGTGGGGAAGCAGCTTCTATAGGAAACTGTGGCGAGGACAATGTCACCAATGTGGGTGGAATGGAAAATATCCAGATTTTCCCATCTACTTGGCAGCTACCCATTTTACTGCAATTGTAATTAAAAGTTTATAGTTAAGTAGGTTTTGGAAAGGATGCAGGAAAGATGGAAAATGCATGCATCAAGAAGCTGTGTGGAAGTTGGGGAAAAATCCCCTTCCCAACAGCTCCCTGCCTAGACCAAATAGCCAAATTGGAAACAGGGTTGCCAACACTAGTTTGGGAAATTGCTGGAGATCTGTGGGGTGGAGCCCTGGAGAGGGACCTCAATGGGATATCATGCTACAGAGTATACCCTCTCAGGGATTTTTCTGGTGACAGTATTCTCCTGTAATGTCTACTGGCACCTTTTCTCAGGGTCCTCCCAAGTCCCATGGAGTGGAATCAGCAGAAATCAGTGCAACCTCATATATGAGTACTGGCACTTAAAAACAAAAAAAACCACTGCACCCTCCTCCAAAGCAGCCATTTTCTCCAAGGGAACTGCTCACTGTCATCTGGAGATCAGCTGTAATTCCAGGAGATACCCAGGCCCCCATCTGGAGGCTGGCAACCCTATGCGAAAATCACCAAAGACAGAGGGGGTAGGTGAATTCAAGGATTAGAATTTATGCCTTCCACAAAAGGAAAGCTGATTGAAAACATAAATGGTGCAAGAAGCTCATCTTTAGCAGACAAGCGATCTGCTTCTGTTTAAATGATACATCCCCCAATGCCCCCCCTCCAAAGCAAAAAAGAAAAGAAAAGCATAAAGTACTTTTGTTTCCAGTAAGAGAACATTTCCAGGAAGGCTGCGAAAAAAGTCATGTTTCAGGACAGATAAGAACAGAAGATACTTCTTTAGACTGTGCACACAAATTGCACTGAAATTAACAGAAAACTTAGTTATTTGTGTTGGGAATGATGCAATAGGAATTCTGGGAAGAATATTGACTGCCCTCTCCTCCCTCAGACACAGCAACAAAGAAAAGAATCCAGACAGTCTCATGATGGCACACAGGTTTGCTGTGGCATTGTTCCATCTCCTGTCAGCTAGGTAAAGGTAAAGGTAAAGGTTTCCCTTGCTAAAAAGCCAGTCAAATCCGACTCTAGGGTTGTGGTGCTCATCTCCGTTTCCACGCCGAAGAGCCAGCGCTGTCCAAAGACATTTTCATGGTCATGTGGCCGGCATGACCAGACGCCGAGGCGCACGGAACACTGTTACCTTCCCACCAAAGCGGTACCTATTTATCTACTAGCAATTTCTTGCTTTCGAACTGCTAGGTTGGCAGGAGCTGGAACCAGAGATGGGAGCTCACTCCGTCATGCGGCACTTGGGTCTTGAACTGCTGAACTACCGACCTTCCAGCCTGCAGTTCAGCGCCTTAACCACTTGAGCCACTGCAGCTCCTCCTGCTGTCAGCTACTATGGTGCAAACCCTACAGAACTTTCAATATGATTATCTTTTGTTCACAACCAACTTACTGTATTGTACCATATTTCAAGAAAGAGTCACCCCACTTCAGTTGTAGGTGTAGTACAGTTTATGTGTTTTTCATTAACAAAACCAGCTCTCTTTAAGGCAGTTGTTATCCCACTGAAATTATTTGCTCCCATTTTTCAACTCACCCATCTAACAGTGAGGTTAGCAAAGGTGATACATCTGCAAACACTGTCTCTTGAGTTTCAGCAGCACTATAAACTCTGAAGAATACAAAATATATACATATATGGGTCAGTCATTGAAGGAAAATTGTCTATAAATGTGAATGAACTAATATTTAATTTGATGTTTTTAACTGCATTTATATATATATATATATTACGTAAGCCGTCCTGAGCCTGCTTCAGCGGGGAGGGTGGGGTATAAATTGAATGAATAAAACAAACAAACAAACAAACAAACAAACAAGAGCAATGACAAATAAGAGCAGCATTACACACTGAAGTTATAAAAGAAAGTACTTTAACAATACATGTTCTTCATGAGCACCAAGATATAAGAAAGGGAATTAGTCATGCTTACTCTGAAGCTTGTTTTAGACATCAGGAAATTAAACGCACACACATACACACACATTGCTGAGCCACAATTCTGTTCCGGTGGCCAAATGCAAGGAATTCAAAGGGCTCTGGACACTGCCAAGACTGCAGGTCCTCATCAAAACAGAGCTATTTCTAGAGACATCAACGAGATTAAGATGTGTTTTACTGGACTTAGCTTGTTGGTAGCGGTGCCAGAACAAAAATAAGCTTGTGAGGTTCATGCAGCTTTCTTTTAGAGTAAAATGAAAGTTACAAGAAAATGAAGGCTAGAAATCTGAGGCTAAGTAAGGTACTTACAGGATTTAAAAATGTAATCATTGTTAAGTGTTGGTAGTGAGATACAGTGGATGGCGCTAGTGGGAGAAAGGCAAAGGAACACATGGTCTTATTAGATAATAATACCAAAGGAAAGGAAAGCATGTAATACTGGGAAGCAGCCACATGCATCCCAATCATGGATCAACACAACCAGAGAGGCTTGTGGAACTTACAGTGTCCTGTGATCACAAAGTTCTTCCTATGACCCACTTCTGCGTAGACAAAAAGTCTCCCGCCCATTATTAGGTAAATTGCCTCAGGTGATAAAAGAAATGTTCTGCAGCCGTTTGTCTCTTGCCAATAATTTAATGGGCTCCAATAATCAAATGAGAGCACCAATCACCGTCTAAAAGCCACACAAATAGACACAACAGCAACAGAGATTAGCTTGGTACTAGATTTAGTGGGGTGGGGATGGGGTGGAGTCAGCGTAGTTATATTCATCCTGAGAAAAATTACTATTTCTTTTTTTTAAAGACCAGGTCATAATATGTTTCTAAGAAGTGATAGTGTGGTGATCAAAAGAAGCTTGATAAAGGGTGTTCAGCTGGATTTGAAATAGGGTTATTAACTTTTGTCCCAGTGAGCATTCGGATCTGTTCTGCTTTCATTATCTGTGGCAGAAACCTCAATGACAGATCTCCTTCTGCCTACCTTACCCCAACCTTGCAGCCACATGCTTACTTAAAGTACCTGAAGATTACAAGCCTCCATTTTACTTTGTTGATGAACACACTCATAAAAAAATCTGAAAAAAACACAACATGTTGAAAAGCTTTCCCCCCTCTGAAATGGAATCAAGTATTTTGACATTTATTAGTTCCATAAAAGGTTGCTAAAAAAATAAACATTTGGAGTTCATAAGAACCATATGCTCTGCTGTTTATAAGAATAAACTGTGCAGGGACACTAAAAAAACACAACACACTTCTGCGAGCCACATTCTTTGACGGAATTCACCATTTTATACCATCACCCTCTTTTTGGAGGAGGGGGTTATGTAAACACACGGCACCACATCTCAAGAATGTCCTGTAAAGGCTGCTACTGAATTTTTTAAAACTGGAAATAATTGTTGTGTTAACTTTAGAGAACTAGTTTATCTTCCTTCACATAGACAGGCAAAAGGGTGGGTGGGTGGCTTTCGGATGGAAACACTGGTTAGTCTCCACTGTGAAGCGTTTGCTGATCAAAAGCAGTGGCTTTGAGGCATGGAAAGCTTTTCTGCAAAAAAACAAGATATACAAAACAGAAAAGGAGATATTTGCCTCCACACTACCAAAAAGCTGGCCCTGTGACCTTGGGCCTCTCTCTCTCTCTAACCCATCTCACAGGATTGTGGCAAGGACAAAATGGGACAATGTTGTAAGCCCCCCTGAACTTCTTAGAGGAAGGGTAGAATAAAAAGTGCTATATAAGATGACTTTTACTAGGACATTTATTTATCAGCAACGATATAAGCTCTTGCTCTGCAGAAGAGTATTCAGCAAGCAGAATGGAAGGGCAGCTATTTTTAAGCTGCTAACTGAGATGATACCTCAAAGTAGTTTTTCCTTTGGTTTGGTATCCTCACACCTTGACCTACTGGTTGCTTCTCTGGAAGTGCAGTTCTCATAAACAGAGGTGTCAAATTCATTTTTTTACGAGGGCTGAATCCGATATAAATGTCACTTTGTTGGGCTGGGCCATGTGTGCCATAAAATGTAATGCCAAGTACTGGAGATATTTTACCACTGACCATGACCCATACCCTTCCTCAGAAGAGCTCGGGGCCAGACCAGCCCTTCTCTTTCCTTATGGTTGCCCACTCTGGGCTGGGCAATCACTGGAGATTGGGCAATCACTGGGCTGGGCAATCACTGGGCAATCACTGGGAAAGACCCTGGGGAGGGCCTGCATTTGGGGAAAGGAGGAACCTCAAAAGGGGTTCCCTCCCTGATACAGGCCCTTCCAGTCCAGATTTGGACTTAGGGCTGCCAAAGCCCCCTGGGGGGTGGAAAATCACCTGCCCCAGAGGCCCGTTCCCAGATGCCGGGGAATTGGGCCCCAGGGGGAACCTCGCCCCGGCGTGTGCGTCACAGGGCAGTGACGTCATGACACCGGGCACGCTGGGGGCGGGGCCACGGCCGTACAAGGTTTCCCTTGTATGGTCATGGCCCCGCCCCCAGCATGCCCGGCGTCATGACGTCATTGCCTTGTGATGCGAAAGCGGCGCGCGCGCACTTTGCACATGAGTGCACACACCAGGATCCCCCAGGAGTCTCCCGCCGGCGAGGTAATTCACAGTTGGCAACCCTATTTGGACTGGTACTGACAGTCTGATAACTGACATAAAATGTGACCATGAGTCACCTTTTTGGGAATATGTGCAGGGGGACCTAGGGGGCACTGGTCCATACTGACGCGAGCGCACAAACCAGGATCCCCCAGGAGTCCCCCGCCGGTGAGGTAAGTCACAGTTAGCAACCCTATTTGGACTGGTTTTCCCCCAGTTGCTTGTAGGCCAGATGTTTGACGTCTCTGACCTAAAACACATTACTGACAATCTGATAACTGACATAAAATGTGACCATGAGTCACCTTTTTGGGAATATGTGCAGGGGGACCTAGGGGGCACTGGTCCACACTGCCTCTCTTCTTGCTCAACCCTCCTTTCTACTACATCCTACCACTGCCATGCCCCATCCCTCATCTTCCTCCATTGCTTCTCCCTTCTTGCTCCCTCCTTGGACACTCCTTATGGTATTTTTTTTTAATGCAGCATTCTAGTTATAGTTTCTGAACCTAGGTGAAATCTCAGCTGGCATTGTTGCTGAAGTTGCAAAGGGTGCATATGTGCACACACAGCTTTCCCATTTTGTGCTTTCTTGGGGACCCCAAGTTCTGTGGAAAGGCAGAATAAAAATGTTTTAAATAAATAAACTAGTATGGGATCAATAATAAATCAGGGAGGTGATAGAAATAAACAACCCAGAGACTCCCGTCCAGAATACTGTTAAGGCCCCTTAGTTCTGTTATCCCTTTTACTGATGTTGAACTGCTCTTTATATTCCCTACTTCCTACAGAACAATGAACATACTCAGTCTTTATCAGGTTGTTGGGGAGGGGTTGTTTCTTATTTAATTGATAAACTCAGGGGTCTTGTTGTAGAAAAAGAGCTGCCGGAGCTCATTAGCATAACTCATTAGCATAACTTATTTGCATATGCCACGCCCCCTGGCATCACCGGAAGTGACAGAAGGCCACACCCCCTGACATCACCGGAAGTGTGTCAGAAGGCCCGGCTACTTACCCTCCTGCTTCATCCTCATTCCCAAACGGAATGAGGATCGAAGCAGAGGGCGGGGTAAAGAAGGGGCGGGGCTTCACCACGTGACCGCCCCGCCCCCTAGAGGCTCTCTTCCGGAGCTCCGTACCTGAGAGCTCCCCCCCGACTAGAGCCCTGGATAAACTAATGTTTTCCTGAATACATGGGGAGTTCACCCAAAGATGCAGAAACACCTACGTTTTCTGTGGGTGGCCCCATGGCACTCGCCTAGCTGTTATGGACTTTAGTATTAGAGGGAACAGAATGGTGGGCTGCAAAGATGGACGAAAGATGGAAATAAACAATTCGGAAATTCACAGGCAAAAATCTTCCCCTTCCTTAGAATGATATAAACTCTCAGGGAACTGAACAGCCCATTTTCTTTCTAATTAGTTTGCAAAGTCATCTTTTTCTGCATATCAGAGGAGCCCCTGGATATTTAGAAACTCCAGAATTTTCCGTGGGTAACCTGCTTTTGTGCCTGGCACAGATAACCCACTTTACTTACAGTAATAATTATGAAATAATTTATTTTCCCCCTCAGAAGAAACAAGTAATTCTATTTTGTTTCATACATTTTAAGATTAGAAAATTCATGAAGCAGCTGAACAGGAGGGACCAGTTAGCAACTCCTATTACAGCTGAGACAATGTCCAGTGCATAATTTATTCAGATTCTAACTTTTTAACTGTAGGTATTTTAAGACAAGCGATGTATGGTAGTTTTATGTAGTTAATTAATTTTATATTAGTGCTTTTATCTGTTTTACTCTGTTCCTGAATGGCCCGTGGGCCATAATAAAGAACAATTGACTAACTCCTATTACATAGGTCAAATTAAACGAAGGAAGCCCAGCCACTGGGGTTTCTAAGACCACCCACCTTTCAAACTGCAATGTCTTGTTTATCAAAGCATGACCAGGACGGCTGCATTTTACCAGTACTGTTTCCTGACAGGAAAAAAAATAGGGCTAATTAACATATGTTATCATTAAAGTCTAAATGTTATAATTAAAGTCTAAAAGAAAATGCA